GGATAAATGCTCTCTTGAAATTCGTATGTTACATGACGTACATGTTTAGCATGAAAGTTATGCCCATTACCTTTCACTGTATCATCAGTTCTCATGATACTAGCATTTAAGACCAAAGTGCAAAAATCTTGAGATTATAAATGAACATTCTTTACTTGTGTTTTAAAGGACAAAAATCAATCATTTCTCTTTCCTCCCAATGTAACAGAACTGAAAAATTAGTGGTATTTGCTAATTGATTAATTGACATGCTCATTACTTGATTGGTATACCATGTCCTCTACAACTCATACAATCACACATATTTACACTTTACTTATGGCTGTTTTATTAGTAAATTATTAAAAACTTGATGTGCCACCATGGCAAGGTTTCAACCAAAATCTAAGGAAATGCTTTGAAAATTAAGAAGTGGATAACATATTTTCAAAAGGTGATAGGTTCTTAGTGAAAAATGCTTTTTGGGGGGGGGGGGTGACCAGAATAATTCTAAAATAATTGATAAGTAGACCATTTTGTTTGCAGTGGTGCAAAATATTAACTTTTTCTTTATGAATTGCAATGTTAGAATACGACAAAATTTTGATGCTAAAATTCTTTTGAGGTAAAATTGTTTAAATGCTTAGAATTAACATAAAATATTGCCTAGAATTTGTCAAAACATAAGCTAATGGAAATCCTGTCTTCAGTTATAAAAATTTAAAAGTAAGTTAATCTGTTCATCCTAAACTGTTGTACATGAAAATTTATCATACATACAAAGTAGTGCAAAACCTATGACAACATAAAAATTATATGATTAATAGCTTTATCTGAGTTTTATCACAAGACTACCATACTAAAACTACTGAATTTTTGTTGATAAAAATAAACATATTACTTCATGACAAACATTTTTTATATAGCATTAATGAACTCTAACACCCTAAAAACATCAACAACAGAATATATGAAAAACAACTAGTTTCAACTATAGGCCTACATTATGTGTATTTTAGTTGAATGCTTTTTTCCTTGCTGGAAATAAAATTATTTTTCAAAACACATGCAAAAATCAATACGATATTTGACAAACAATACTGATTTTCATTTTAAAAAAAAATGTCAAAGCTCACTAGATGGAGTATTTATGTTACATCTTTGTTACAGATCCATACTTTGAGAAACCTACTCGAAAGGGGGATGATCTAGGACATCACTGGAGGGGATTATATATGAGTACTGATAGAGTTATATTACTATGGTTGTTTTTTTACTTATAACAACACACTACTTGTAACTTTAATAACAAAATCAGTTAGAAAGCCTATAATATCATTAGAAGTAGCTCAGTTGGGTTATAATACAATTTCCAAGCTTATTTCTATATTTTTATTTCTAGTAATGCGACTGATAACATGACAAATATTTCAAATGTTGCAATTAGAATTAAATAATTATAATTATATTTAAAAATAAGAAATTATAAAGTATACACCTAAGTAAATATTTTGGCTTTCTTAAACATGTCTGTTTTAAATTTGTTTCTAATTCGTAGCACTTGCATTTCCACTTATTTCAGATATTAACAATACATAAAACATCTTTGTCACAAATATTCTAACTTCCAAAAATTGATTTTCTAACAAGCATATGTTATAAGAGGTGCATGTGTCCTAAGCAATATTAACTGATGAAAATAAATATGTATAAAGTCTAGAGCACACACATTGTAATTGTCTGGAAAAAGCCAAAGTGTGAAAATGTACAATGGCAACATTTAATTAACAATCATATTGTTATATTCATTTAGAGATAATCAATTATTGGCTAAGGATGTAACCATGACAATTTCAGAAAAATTGAATTTTGTTTTATAGTAATCAATGGACCAATCAAGTAAAAACATCAACATCTAATATTTCTTTTTGGTACTATATTGCTTATTTTTTATTAATTTCTGTAAAAAACATAGGAGTGATTTGAACTTCCCTAGATCTGTGCCTACTTATTAAAACATTTAATAATATAGATATTAATTACTGAAACAAAAAGGTTGGGGATTCTCGACACTTGCCAACCTAATCTGTTCCTGCTTATACAACATTAAAAAATGCAGCTATGCAATTGTAAGCTAGAAAAGTAACAAAGTGAAAAAAAAAAACAGTAAGCTTACACTTTATTTCATACTTAAGTAACCAGAGAGTTTGGGGGTGGGTGCTAACACTCAGTTTCCTTCCTTCTGACAGTTCAAAATTAGTGACAGTGGCAGGTAGCCTTAGTGGCTTTGCAATAACAAAGACAGTACGAGTAACTTTAGTGGCAATGGGAATTAAACCTGAAAACCTCTACAAAGCATCTTCCCACCTGCCCATTATGTAGCTTTGTACTTAACAATAAACAAACATAATGACAATATTTTGATTACTTGGATATTTGGAATAATCAAAAACCCTAATTCTGATTAGTTGATTATTTTTCTGACAATTGATTGAATTTTAATTTTGATTAATTGATTGTTGGAGTAAATGAAAACAGTAATAATCAGAATTAATTATAATCAGTTAATTATTTTCATGACAATCGAGCATAATTTCATTTAATCGACTGTTGGAATAATGAAAACAGGTAATATGAAACCCAAATTTTGATTAGTTCATTATTTTCATGACATTAATCAATTAATCAGGTAATATTTGAGACACTAATCAATGTAACCACTCCTCAAAGGTAATCGATTAAATCACTCAGCCTTACAAAGGAATATTTTTCTAAGACAGCATTTTAGAAATATTAATAAAAACATAGTTTCTTATATAAAATATATTATTAAAATAGTTATTTCTTCTCTTACAGTATGTTAGATAAGAGAAACAATGACATTTACTTTTCTCCAAAAAACAGGTATAGCATGTTTATCCTCATCTCAAGGTTTTCTTTATGTCCAGTTACCAACACAGACAGTCAATATAAGTGACACTGGACTAGGTAGATGCCAAAACATAGAAGTTGTGGTCTAATTATTAGACTGGTCAAACTTAAGGAGATACTTTCATTAACTTGTAGTCTGTTTCACTTAACACTATAACAGTGTCTTAAACTGTTTACTCAAGGTAAACAAGAGATTGGACACAATTTTTAAACAAATCTTATTATATTACAAATAAAAAACTCAATAACATGATTGGCCCTACTAATAATTGCTCATAACTCTCCTGTGGGTCGAATTCAATCACAAATGAATACTACTAAACCTGATAAGCAGTATATCAACATAACTTCATAAATTTCTATACAATCTATCACAGAATATCCAATATGGTTCATGGATCTTCCCAGCTTCGGTGAAATTCACATGCTACAGGAAACTTAAGTTTCCTACTCAAGGTGATACCAGCCTGTAGTGGTAATAATAGATTTCAATTAATACAAGCTTTTTTTTGCCAATTTCATGATATTCGTGAGGTTGGCGTGCCTTCACAGTCATGTGATTTTGCCTTGTAACAGGATTGCCATCTTGACAAAGGGGCAAACAACAGTGAAGCGAGTACAGTTATGACCCAAGTGCTTTAAATGATACAGGAAGATTTCCTGTGTCAAACTGCATAACCAATGCTACTTAAGTCCATGAAACCTAATGATGCAGCAGTGATATTTCCCATACAAATAACATACACATAGTTAATATGAACTGTCAAACCTTAACTTCATTTTTTCTCAAAAGCAATGTTTTCATGGTCTTAATGTGATAACTCTCTACAATGACAACACTGATAGGATAAGTATGGCATAAAGTTTAAAATAATAATAATATTTTGTTTCAACAACTTCAGGTAATGCTACAGTATCAGAGGGTCAACACTTACTTAAAGACATTAGACTGGTGACCATGTACTAAATACATGTATACAGCCCAAATGCACCAGAATAGACAAAAATACAATGTCTTACTATGTAGTACAGCAACAAATATGAAAAGAACAGGAAAGACTGGTTGATATCACTTTGGCCCCAGCTGCAACATTAAGCCAATATCTGACTCAAGAATTGTTCAAACTAGCAAAGACATCACTCATTATATATAATGCCTTCACCCAGATTTAACATTACAGCATAGACTCCAACAATCTTATCAGTGCTTGCCAAATTTTTTCAGAGTTCATCTGAAATTTGTTTCATGCTGTGAATGGGTAGAGAACCTTGTAGGATTTTATAATGCTTTTTCAGCAGTCCTATTACATGTTCAATGATAATTCGAACAGAAGTTATTCGACTTGTTATTGGTGCAATTAAATGCATAAAAACTTTTCAACATATCTGCAGGTTTGGAACAACAAAAGATCATTTAGTTTGTTCTGAATTTCGCACAAAGCTAAACAAGGGCTATCTGCGCTAGACGTCCCTAAACTAGCAGTGAAAGACTAGAGGGAAGGCAGCTAATCACCACCACCCACCGCCAACTCTTGGACTACTCTTTTACCAAAAAATTGTGTGATTTACCATCACATTATAATGCCCCCACAACTGAAAGGGCAAGCATGTTTGGTGGGACAGGGATTTGAACCCACAACCCTCAGATAGCGAATCTTTCACCCTAACCACCTGGCCATTCCAGGCCCAAAAGATCGACACAAACACCAATAGTTCTTATTACTACGAGTCTAGATGGTGTGCAAGTGTATGGAATGAATAGGATTTCTCCTTCATTGCTCTATTTGTTTGCCCCTTTGCCTCGGTTGCTATGCAGATATTGCATTGTGGGAGGGCAAAGTTCTTGGGCGTCTGACCTCAAGAATATATTGCATAAAATGAAAAAATCCTGTTAGTACGCTCCTTACGTGCTTTTATAATATTCAAGGGTGGTTAAAATTGACCCACTAATAGTCACAAGCATAATCTGTGCGCTTTTACTTTGAGATGGTAGACCTGTTCTTTCTATTAGTATTATTAAGCAATAGCACTAAATATTTCACAATCTTATTGTACAAGAAAGCAACAAATTTATATAATCACTCATTTACATTTACCCGCGGTTTCTTTCGTCTACTCGAACGTCTAGTTTGTTCATCACCACTACCAGCTGACGAAACTGGTACGTTTGACGGCGGCTTCTCCTGGCCTTGTTCACTTCTTTCTGTCACACTCACACTCGGCTGATGAGTTTCATTGTTATCTGATGCAGCAATAAAACGCTTACGCTCAGACTCACTGTTCCCCGCCATAATAGAAACACTGACGTTACTCATCTTTCCTAGTTTCTCTTACAAACCTATATAGGTTGAAAGTTACAAAGAATTTAAAGACCTGAAGTAGACGTTAAATCAACACGAGGGTTAAACACTTTTTGGTTTCTTCGCCGTTTTTGTTCTTCAAGACTGTAAACGCCCTCTAGTGAAAAGTACATTATAAGAATGATATATATCTGATATAATATGTAAATATTTTAGGCCTAACATTCATGTTAACTGTATATGTTGTTGTGTTTTTCATCACATTCCTCTCAACTTGTCTATTTCGAATTCACAACCAGATATAATCCTCAAATGTTATTCAACCTTTGATTTTGAATCTGAAATGGATAAAGTAAAAGGAATGCGAAAAACATTACATCTGCAGTTAACATCACAAATTTTAGGCCTATTAGTTTATAATAAATCGCCAGTTGTGGACGTTTAAACCGTACCTTATAAATATTTTAGTTATTAAAAGTAGTCTCGTTTCACATTCCATTTTATTTCTGAGACACTTTTTTCATACATACAAATTTCTTTCTGAAGCGCACATTAAGCTATTTGTGCTCTATTTACACAGGTGTCAAAATCAGGTTTTAGTGTTATAAATTCTTAGACATATGGTAGAGCTACCAAGGAGAATAATATTGTTACGTCTCCGTTTGTTAATTAACTTTCCGTAACTTCGTTCCAACGAAACTTTAGCGACACAAGTCCTTACTTAATAAAACTGTTTATTCTTTCCGAATATAACTTTACGATACACTCAACTTCAACAGTCGCGCTATAACAAACTATAATAACGACTTTAACTTCAACAATACGTCTCTCTCTTACCGCAGTTCAATTACTCATTACCGACACACATTATTCCGTCACGTTGTTACCCTCTTATATATATACCAGCCTACCCTATCTAGTAAATGCTAGGGCATTCATGAAGGAACAAGATAGTTCTAGAAACGTTGCGTCACACTAGTCATGTGACTTCGCTTACGCAACACTGCCCCTTCCTTAGTATTGTTCGTCCCGAACAATAACCACATACAATAAACCAATAACAATAACTTAATTAAAATGTACAGAATTACAAA